TAATGGATAACTCATAATGTTATTTATATAGCCCTAAAAACCATGAAAACTAGCTGGGTGACCTTGGGCCAGTTAGCCCAATTCACCACGTAGGGTTGCTGTTTGTGGGGAAAATAGGAGGAAGAAGTTATATTCGATAATTTTCCGCCTTGAGTTATTTGTAAAAAATAATAGTCTACAAAACAAACAAACAAAAATTGTGGTGCATTAACATATAAACTGTACAGTAAACTCTTGATTTAAAGGAAATGAAGGGCTGTCCAGTACAGCTGAATCTCCATTTTTATTCTGGGGTGAGTAGATTGGTAGTGAGAGTAGGTTTACTATGGTTTACAAATTATGCTTGTTTTTGATGGAATATTAACAGGATGTTGATCAGCAAATCATACTTTGTTGACATTTATATTTAAGCATCCTGTAGCAAATAAAGGCATTCACTGGGAAAACAAAGCAACTCCATTCTTACCTGCCCCATTCCAGCCTGTACTTCATTTTCAACTTTTCGTTTCAAACTTTCCAACTGATCCTTCAAAAAAGCAAGATCTTTCAATTTTGGCAGAGAATCCTATATATTGGAAACAAAAAAGCATATTCCAAATTGCATGCACAATCTATTTCAGTATCTTTGTTCCAGAAAGCAAAGAACTGAGGGCCAAAGCAGTCCAGCAATTCCAAGAATTTAGCTAAAGTCTAAATCTGTGTGAAGCTATCACTATTATTACATCAGGAAGATACTACCGGTAGGTCTTTTTTAAAATGTGTCTGACTTTTCTCTAATGAAATCGGAATTCGTTAGTGGGCTATTTTTCAAATATTAGTTTGAATAGCAACAGAAGGCAACTTTTGTTTACCAAGGTTTGCATTACATATATGACCAGGTCTTAGGGGTAGAGACCTACATTCAGATATACAGCTTAACACAGGCATTCCCGTTCTCAACTCCCAACTAACATCCTACCTACGTATTCATAGTTCGAAGACGGAGGTTTGAAATACTTAGGAGAAATGGAAATATGCTGCTTCCATTAAAGGCATACCTAGAACTATGATGAAAGCAAATCACATCATAAGCTCTGTCTCTTTTGTACAGGAGTACAGACATAAGTACATATGACAGAAATAGAGCTTGCATTGCCAAGATGCAATACTGCTTTTGAAATATGTCCCCCTTTGAATCATGTGCAGATGTGCTGGGAGAGGGGGAGAGAACCTGTATTAGACCACATAGACATCTATCAGTGACTGAGACCATGATAGTGGTGCATGGTAAAGCTATTGAAAAGCTGCTACAGTTGCACCTATCAAACATATTCATAACTTGCCATAATAAAATTTGGCTAATTAAAGATTGCATGTAAATGGATTATCTAGACTGAAAACAGTACAGTATCTCCAAAATCACCATCAAATTATAAATCTTATTACATCATTGATTCTGAACTTCATAGAACTATGACACAAAATATGAATTCTAGGGACAAATCCTAATGAATTCCTTTAAGTTTAATATGGGAGTTCCAGAAAATCCATTCTCAAAACCAAAAGAGTAACAGATTCCAACCTTTTCTTTAATATGCTTTTTGTTGTTATTCTTCTGTATCTTGTTCTTATCTGTTTATTCTGTTCGCTATATTGTGAGCCGCCCAAAGATTTTTTCGGCAGTGAGGCACCACCAAATTTAATGAATGAATAAAATTTTAGGTGGTGCAAAAATAAAAACTTTGGGCATGAATCATATGAGAATACAGAGAAGGCTGCCCTCCGGGGCTTACCATTAAACTACAAATTGGCTCTATCTGTGATATGGTCATTGGGGGATACCTTTCATCAACTGGTGAAATATTATTACGTATGATAATATGAGAATCCATGTAATCCTCCATGCTTAAGTCGAAAAAAAAGCCAGTTCCGTGACTATCACGATTTATTCTATGAAGATCGACGAATTCCAACTCCACGAGTTTATGCACGGGGCAGCAAAAATCTTAGTATCTCTGGCTTTAGGTGGGAAAAACATGCAAGTTGGAGTTCGATAGCCGGTTTGGGAAGGTATCTAAATAACGCGAAACCCCGAAATTGGTTTCTTGGATCCGATTTTTCACGGACTACCCGACTCAGGTCCAAAGCCAGCTTGCAAAAACAAGATGTCTACAAGTTGTAGGTTGCCCACTGCATCTTCCCATCTCCGCCAACGCCAGCCCCTAGCGAGGGAAAAAAGATCGAGCGCGAGAGGAAACCCGGAGCGGACAAGTCGGCTCCACGCGGCGCCTACCTTATCATCCGCCATTTTTTAGCCAGAAATTGCCCAGCTTCCTTCTGCACATGCGCAGAAGAGAGTGCAGCTTTCGAGAGTTCGGTATCTGAAGGCTAAAGTTTGGGTTAGTTTGGAAGTTTTTTATGAAAATGAGTGGGGAAATCCCGATTTTAATACAGCTGTCAATGCCTATATAAAAGCAACAGCAGAGAGACGATGCTGCTTTGAAGTCCGATTAATTGGTAGGGATGTTTGAAATTGAATGTAACAAAGCGGTTTAAAAGATAGATGCATCCAGTACACAAGAGGCTGGAATAGGCACTTTTGCAATACAACTGAAATAAACATGTGTTCCAAGTAAACAAGAATATGATTGAAGATTTATAACTTTTAGCATTATTCGTTTACCGTCTCTTTAATAATGCCAAAGTCATTCGGAATAGCCCAGAGTATCAATTTCCAAGTTAATTAAGCCAATCGAGCTCACTAAGTCATAGAAAACTTAAGGGGTGATTGACGCTATAAGATACAAATCTTCCGCGGTTGTTGTTGCATTTAAATCCCCACCTTCCTCTCGAGAACTCAGGAAAGTAGAGGACTCCCCATGACGACTCCTTTCGTTCTGTCTTACGCTCTCCTCAAGGTATCATCACCATTCTTCTATTTTAATGTATTTTTTCATTTCCGCTTTTTCACTCGGGTGCTCAAGGCGGCGTACCTAGCGCTTCCTCTTTTATTTTTTCCCCCACCACAACGCCGCGATTGAGGTGGGGCCATGAGAGAGCGACTTCCCCAAATAGATCCAGTGAGCGTCGGTGATCGAAGGTGGACTGGAATTGCTCTGAGTTCAACACCTTCACTCCCAGAATTCCTGAGCCAGCCATGCTGGTTCCGGAATTCTGGGAGTGGAAGTCCACGAGTCATAAAAGAGCCAAGGTTGCCTACCCCTGCACCAGACTGTTCTGTCCGATTTGGGCATGGTTTCAAGTGGAGTTAGCGTAAACATCAAATGACAACAGCAAGATCAACGTTTGGTTCGGCAGATCTGCTCTTTTACTTTCTTTCCCCACCTTGGATTGTTGCAATCCGGAAGGTCGGAAGTGATCAATGCGCCCTCTCGCCTGTAGGTGGTGCTGCCAGCTTGGGCTTCCTTCACGGGAGCCGAAGTCCCACTGAACTCGCCCAGGCTCGACCTACATTGCATGCTGGCGTCATCGCCCTCCGCCCCTCCTTCTCTTCTCGGCTTGGCTTGATTCGGCTCGGCACCGCCCACTGAGGCCAAACTTGACGCCGCCCTCTGCCGCACCGTCGCCGCTGCTTCCCTCCTCGCAAGTGTTGCACAACACCTGGCCTCCGGAGCGAGCGAGGCAGCTATGCTGGGCAAGGACTACATGCTGGCCATCATCCTGGTCAACTGCGATGGTGAGAGGAGCAGCTGCAGGACCGGCGCGGCGGGAGGGCGGGAGGGGAGAGCATCTATTTGGGCGGAGGGACGCGGCGGCCTCAGGTAGGACAGAGTGGGAGCAACTTCGGGGTCGCCGGCCACGCGGCCGGCCAAGACCTCAGAAAACAGTGGCCCGGGACGCATTGGGTGCGTTTCGATTGACCTCCCGCACTAGGATACGGGTGTGCGTGTCTAGGCTTTGGAAAGTACGTCAGGACTGTCTTACCTAATTGGGGGGTGGGCAGCGGATCTGATGCGGCCATTCCCATCTGGCTACCCTCCTGCACTCGTCCTGGGCCGGGGCGTCAGCCTCTGGGCTCATGTCGGCGTCCAGATGGGAACGGCGTGGCATGAAAAGGACGGGGCTTCCATGTACCTTGCCTTTTTTTTTATTAAACACAAGTGGATACCTTTGCCGTCTGCTGGTCGGGGCGACAGATGCTTACGTCTTGTCCCACATCAATGTGAGGACACTTATAACTGGTTTCCATGGTGAAAGGAAGCAGGCACAACGGGGGAGGCGAGAGGGCAGCTCTGCAAAATCCATTTCCTGTAATATGCAGTTTTTCCGGGCTTGTCTTTTTTTCGGCCAACCTTTCTGACGACCTGTTTTTAGGCAGCTTTCCTTGGTGCTGAAAAGAGGGTAGGAGAGTAGGTTGAGTTCATGCATTTCCCTTGGGTTCCTCGGGAGTGTAGAAGCTCTGTAACTTCATCCCCTTTTCCTTTAATGGTTTTTTTTCCTTTTTAACTGTTTTTTTGTATATTCAGAATAGAAATAAATAGAAAATGCTGGTATCTTCAGTATAGGTCTTAAAATCCTGAAAGCAAGTCTCATCTATATCAATAGATCAATTACTGTGCTATTAATGTTGCATTAGAATGTAGATATATTTAATATCTCAGTCTATCTGGAGAGGCAACTTTCCTGGATTGATTTTTCATATTGTGGTTTGTGCCAAATTGTTAAGAGTTCAACAATCTGAACAGCTTATGACTTTATGCTTTCATAACAGTGAAGCTTTTGTCCCATATGTGAATGGAGGTATAGTGAGTGTGTGTGTGTAGGTATATAACATTACAAAGTTTTAAAATTATTTATGGCTAGGGTCTACATATGCTAGCTTTATTTCTGGCTTAAGCACTTTTCCAGAGAGCCCCTGGTTGTCACAGTTTTTCTGGATAATGTTTCGTTTTTCTGAAAGGCCAGAATTCAAAATGGTTTACACAGGAGCAGTTACTCATGTAAAGCCCTTCTAGCCATTGGGTTACCAAGAGCTAGACCAACAATCCAGCAGCAGGTATTTGACACAGTTCTTTGGGCAGAGCAGGGTAAATCAGGTAATCAATACTGGCAGGATATGCACAGGAAACCGTTCATGCCAGCAAATTAGTTATTCAGTATTAACTGCCCAAGGTACTGTAGAGCTTTTTTCCATATCTTGCCCTCTGCAGTATTGGGGGAAGGTATAATTATTCCCCTTTGGCAAAATGAGCCTGCCCCTGTGACCCAGTGGGCTTTCTTCCGCAATTTGCACCCTAGTGTCATAACTCCACTTGCTAATAGAAGTTCCACCTGATCAGAGGATAATCTTGTTTGCCTTTTATAGTCCAGAACCCTAAGAATTTGGAAAGGCACAGAATTTATTTAGCTGCCCTAATTTTAAGATTTCATAAATATCAATATTTTAGTGCCTTCTATCTTGTTTTATGTTTTATACCTTCTGTTATTTCTCATATTTCATCCATCATGATAAGGTTCACATACTCAGCCGCATGCTTAATATATTTAGTATGTAAGTATTTTATTTATAAAATAATGTTTTAATCTAGTTAACTAGCTTTATACGTTATTTGTATTTATAGTATTTTGTTCTCTGAACCACTTTATATAGTTTAACTTCTAGAAAATATGTGTGTATTTTACTCTGAGCCTTGCAATTTCTTATATTTTTATACAATCCTGGTCAGTAACAGTAATAGTGATACTATTACTTGGCTAATCTTGATAAATTATAGAGGGCTAGATTTGGTGATGGTTGGATGGGAGACCATTAGGAAATTACAGAACTCTGGGCTGGGAAGTTGAAAAAACATCCTGAAAGAAGACATTGTCAAAAGCACTCCCCTATTATGAATGAAAACCACTTTGATATGGTCATGCAGGCAACTGAGCTTAATTTGGAGAAGACTGTACTTCTAAATTTCTGACAACATGAAATCTTGCCCCCCTCCCTTATTTTACATGAATATATAATTGTTAAGGACTGAAGTCAACTCAGAGACTTCCATTGGCTATCTTTGTTATAATAGATCTGTTTTTAATAATCTACCGTTTTGAACATAATACAGAGAACAACAGGGTTGAAAGGACCTTGGAGGTCTTCTAGTCCAACCTCCTCCTTGAGCAGGAGACCTTATACCATTCTGGACAAATGGTTATCCAATTTCTTCTTTCTGGTGATGGAGCACCCACAACTTCTGAAAGGAAATTTATGTTCCTTTGGTTAATTGTTCTCATTGTCAGGAAATTTCTCCTTAGATTTATGTTGGAACTCTCTTTAATGATCTTCCAGTTGTTGTCCTGCCTTCATGTGCTTTGGAGCATAATTCAATAATTCAATTCCCTTTTGACAGCCCTTCAAGTACTCGAAGGCAACTATTAAGTCACTCCTAATCCTTCTGTTCGATAAGCTAGACATACCTAGTTCCCTTAGCCATTCATCATACAGTTTAGCTCCCAGACCCCTTATCATCTTTGTTGCTCTTCTCTGCACAATTTCTAAGATCTCAACATCTTTTTTATATTGTGGTGATCAGAACTGGATGCAGTATTCCAAGCATGGTTTTACCAGTGCAGTAGAGAGCAGTACTATCACTTCTCCTGATCTTGATGCTATCCCTCTGTTGACGTGTTCTAAGACTGCATTGGCTTTTCTGGCAGCTACAGCACATTGCTGGCTGTTACTTAAGTGGTTGTCCACTAGTTACTAATATTGAACCAGGTAGCACCTATTCTATACCTGTACATTTGATTTTATTTTTTTTTGCCTAGTACAGGATCTTACTTTTCTCACTTTGTGGATAGGGTCCACTGTTCAAATCTGTCAAGATCTTTCTGAATCATGAGTCTATCTTCTAAAGCAGGGCTTTTCAACCTTTTCACAGATTGTACCACTTTTAGGACATGATAATATTTGAGTACCACCAGTGCTTAGCAAGCTGCCAAAAACTTGATGACTAAAAAAAAAGGGGGGGGGATTTTGAGTTTTATCGATTAAATTCATTTGTTGTTATAGAAATGGCTAATTTGTAATATTATGGAAAAGTAAAAAGTTGAGGTTCAATGTTAATACTTCCTTCTACTGCAACAGAGGAAGTATGTTCTTTTTTCTTTCCCCCCCTCACTTTTTTCCCCTTTTCCCTCCCCACTGTGTCCTACTGTTTGCTTTTGTATTTTATTCTATAATCTAATAAAATATTACAAACTGTAGAAAAAAAGGAAAAAAGTACCAGTTTTAATTTCTTCGGTGGCAGTTCCTTTGCTGAATCATTTTCTCTTTGCATTGACAAATGTATGATGAATTTATCCATATTAATATGCACCACTACCAGCT